ATGAAGTCGGCGACGGACATGTCGGCCGGCTTGACCTCCCCGCGGGCCTTTTGGCGGCGCCACATGAGGTTCAGGAAGCCCGGGATGATGCCCTTGAAGGCGGCTTCGCGGAAGACGTTGCGCGGGTGCATCTCGACGAGGTGGTCCGGGTAGTAGATGTAGCGGGGTGGGGACTTGATGCCTAGGTAGTCGCCTTGCATTTTGAGGTCTCTGATCTGTATGTTGAAAAAAGGGGAGCTTCTGTTAGCAAAGAAAGGGTGTAATAGGTCTTCGCGACGAGAGACTACGAACCATGTCGAAGAGCACGAGGTCGTCAAACTTCCATGTATCCTTGCCCATACCGCGCAGCGTCCTCGGCCCGCGCTCGAAGCGCACATTACTCTTCTTGCCATTGACCTCGACCTCGAGCTCCTGTGTGTTGATCCAACCGCCCACCCGGTCCCCTGCCTCGTATATGGTGATGTTGGACGTCTCGGGGAGTAGCTTTGCCAGGTAGTGCGCGGTCGTGAGACCCGCAATGCCGCTACCGACGACGGCGATGTCAGTCGGGACCTGGATGTTCTTTGTAAATATTGGTTCTGCCTCTTTCTGGCTTCGTCGCCGTTCTTGTCTCGCGACCACGGTGGTTGTCGAGAACGGTCGTCGCGCCGGCACGACGGCGGCGGCGGCGGCGGCGGCGGCGCTTCTGCCGTAGCCGCCGAGGGCTGCACTGCAGAAGCGCTGGGAGTGGTAGGACCTCAGTAGAGCCATGAATGCATCGTCAGCTCTTCTAAGTACCATTTGGTAAGGTCCAATGATCCGAAAATAGAGGTAAAACGGAGAGAAAAGTAGAAAGAGAGTGGTAATCCGAAGTTGACCGTTGGTAGAGATGTTGGTGCTGCAAAGTGGCGTCACGACATGGACTGGGGTCTTGCAGCAAACAATTCCGTACCTGGAGCTAGGGGTCCTTGGAGCTTCCGGCCCCACCACCTCGAACCAACATCAATTGCCAACATGGGCAGCTTTTACGTCTTGAAGGCCAACCACTTTGCCAGGATAGTCAAATTCAATATTGATGCAGACTAGATGCTATTTGAAAATGGGAACCTTTGGATGTTGTGGCTACAGACTATTAGCCTAAACATTTGTAGTTTAGATAGTTGGCTTTCGGACAGTCAGACAATGATTGACACACAAGATATCGAGGAACAAAGACCAGAGAACGTAGAGTGTGGCTACTAAAGAGGACAGCATGTTCTGCCTCTAACACTATCAGGGACCACAATTGATGAGGCCCTCTGATTCGCTTTATTTCAGCTCGCCCAAAGCCCAGTCTATACTTGAATAAGGGAATAATTGCACCCGCAAAACGCCCAAAGTGCCATGTCGCTTTCGGCATACATCATCGTCCAATTATCATACAAGAAGTCGCCGCTCCCATTCTACCATCGAGGACTCTTCTTGGAAGCCTCCTAATGATCCCAAATCTGAACTAGTTCACAGTGATCCTCCTAAGGGTATACCATGTCTGATGCGAGACGCCAATCCGAGCCAACTGCTCTCCTCCCATCCACCGCCCGCCGTCCAGTCAGCCTCATTGCTAGAGACAACGCTTCTTGCATGGCGTAAACTCTCTGCTGAGAGTTCGCATTCCTGAGGGTTTTCGTTCTCGTATGAGCGCCTAGCTGATCACCTCCTGCGCATTGCTCTGCTCTTGGTTCACAGCGTTCTCTGAATCGGGAAGAATCACTTCTGCTTGTGCGTTTGTGTCGACAAACTGACGTTCGCTTACGTGGTCGTCAACGCCCTCGGCGGTCCACACCTTGTCCTTGAAGACGCCCTGCTGGCCTTCCTCGTGGGTGTACATGCAGTGAGGGTTTTTGCAAGGGTTGAATCTACACTTGACCTTAACATGTGTAAACTTGCAACCCGTAGTCGTACACCCGGCACCGTTGCGGCACAGCGGCATCTCGGGATGCTTGAAGGGGCATCGCGGATTCGTGCAGTTGGGGAAGAATTTGCAGTCTTGCTCGCTCTGATGCGCCAGTCTGGCTGCTGGAGATGGGTGCCGTCCGACACACTTGCGGTTCTTGCATGCCGCACCGAAAGTGCATACATCGTTAATGTCAACTGTGGTGCCTGGAGGTGCTGCGGGTGACTGATGCGCAAACTTGCACTCGCCGTTGGTGCAACGGAGGTTGTACTTGCAGACAGTCTCGTCGGGGTTGGGCGGTTCGCGCTTCGATTGTGACATGTCGACATCGTCTCCTTCTCCGCCTTCCGTCATTGCTGAATCTTGCTTGTCTCTGGACTGATGTTGTCGGAAACCGCCGCGAGAATTTTGAGTGCGATCGAACAAAGACTTGCCGCCGCGGCGTCCACCTCGCCCACCACTTTGGTTCATAAGCTGTTGCTGGAGTTGTGACATCATCTGCGCCTGTTGCTCCATCATTGCCATGAGGTCCATTTGTGACGGCTGTCCTTGTGGCGGGGGCATGCCCCAACCTTGGGCCATGGGGTTCACTCCTGGGGGACCGCCGTGTTGACCGTTCATTCCTGCCATCGCGTTGAGACCAGCTTGGATGTTCACTCCGCGGTTGTTCATGGGTCGTCCGCCGCGTCCCATTCCGCCTCTGGGGCCTGTGGGTGGGCCTCGGGCGTGGGAGTTGATTCTGTCGTTTCCGCGAACGCGGTGAAGAACCGAATCGCCAGACCGGTCCATAGCCTTGGTCATGTGGCCCAACATTCGCTTATCGCGACCACCTCGGGGGTTGGGACCGTTTCGCATGGATCGCGGGCCAGTCGGGCTACAGCGGGTTAGTAGGGTACGGGCTGCTGGGGGTAAGTTGGGGAGACAAACGCGTTCAATTCATTGCCATCACCTGCACCCATGTCGGTGTCAAAGTCTCCATTTCCTTGAGACATGCCAGTCATAGCATCGGTACCGGAAGGTTGAGTGCCGTTAAGTTGTGCGTCGGTCTGCTCAACCTGTTGAAAGAGCCATGCGGCGAATTGCTGGGCGCCCGCATCTTCGGGACCCAGACCAAGGAGATCAGCCGAGAGTTCGGTGGCGATTTGCTCCTGCGTGCGGCCGTTGACGAGCATGAGAATGATGTATTCGACGAGCGCGGCATCATCATCGGAGCCTGATGCCCAGCCGGCCTCGATCAATTTGGGCTGAATGGCGGCGCTCAAAGCATCCGCCAGCGGGGTATTGAGGACGACCTGGACCGTCATATTGATTGGCGCCGATATGGCGAATATCGCGTGAAGCTTCGAGTGCAAATGCGACGAGTCGTGGTACGTTCAGTTTTTTTGGAGTTGAGCTGCAGGACCAGACGCGTTGGTGTCGGGAAAGAAAAGTCGGCGTCGAATACGGCACCGGAGACTTTGGTTGACGTGTTAAGAATGCGCGCGGTAGTGGAAATCGCTTGCGCCGGGGTATATGGGGAGCAGGCGATGGTACCGGTAGAGGGAAGTTGGTGATGCACAAGAGAGCAACAAAAGAATGTTGTGTATGGTGGAGGAAGTGAATCGAGGTAAGGTAGGTGAGGCAAGAGAGCCAAAGAACGTTCCTGAGATGACGGAGAATTCAGAGCTGGGCCCACAACAAAGCCTTTGATTGGAGGAGCAGGTATGTAGTCACGTGACAGTCTGCGCAAAGAAAGGTGGTGCAAAGCCAACGTCCGGAGGTTCTTCACTGCAGAAGGAGAAGGTTCAGGCGAATTCCAAGTGTGGCTTGCCCTGACTAATTCAGGCACGCGATGCTGATTATTCAGCGCAACGGCTACACAGCCACCGGCTCTCCAGCCTCATTTCCCCAGGAACCACGCGACCTGTGTGGTTCCACTCCTTCCAGGCAGGTTGAATATACACCATGATGTGCTTTTCATCTCTGGGTTATTCCAGCTTCGCCCGCCCGTGATACCTCTGTACTGAACAAAAAGGCTTCATTCTGTCACCAAGGCCTGTGTCGTAGCGGGGAATACCGGCGCATCTGAACGAAATGCCCGCACACATAGGTCCCGGGTTCGAGTCCCGTCTTCTTCTAGTAAAAATCCTTGCATCGTTACACCTGAGGCTGGTAAGAGTCTCCTCGGATCTTTCGTAGGCTCCCTATTATAGGGGCTGAGCTTTTTGTGTTCACGAATGCCTTAGACTATGGCGTCTTACACCGCCATTACTTTCAGGCAGGATATGACACCAGTCACTACCAAAGATATTGGTTAATACCTTACTGGCAGGTCAGAGTCTGTCTCAAAGCCCCCACGCTATACGGGTGGCAGCTGAAACAGGGTGACGACAAAGGAAAGAGCTCTCTACTTTCCCTCTCTCCGTATGAGACTTGGGATGAGACTGCGGCGACCAGAATCTTACTCTCAGTGTCGAAGGCTCATAGATGCTTCTTAGATATCTCACAGTCGAGCGCTGAAATGCGGTACGAGGCCCTTGTACGTTCTTGCGGCATGTGTCGGGTCTTGTAAAAGATAAGAATCTTACATAAGATAGGTAGGTATAGTTGCAGATCCGCCGTTGGTGTGCGCAAGCTGTGGGTGCCCTCCACTCTTGGCTTTCTGCCTTGGCTTGCAATGTGCGTCTGGTGACCAGCTGTGGTTTCTCACTTTTTTTCAGACTTCTCTCGCTGGGCATTGGCTGCAACACGCGTATCCAAAGTTTGGTCTGCCGCATATCAAAAGCCATCGAAATGCTTCTCTTACTGTTGCCGACTGAGCGAGACCGAATGAAAGGCTTTACGAGAGAATACTCTAATTACGTTTCTTGTTTCCTTGTCGATGGAGACAATGCCGCCCTTAGATCGGAGGTTTCTGTGTGCTTGATTGGTCGGTAATTAAAGTTGTTTGGCCATAGGTGCCGTTCCCCGCCCCCTGTCGCCATGACGGTTGGCTGCCCTGGCCTGGTTTAGGTCCTTGGCTTGGGGGAGGGGGGCTTCTGCCGCGCCTCCCCTTGACTTCCTCCAGCTCCTCCTTCCCCCTCCTGTCATCCTTGTCATCGTTGCTCATGACAGGCGGCGTTGATGATCCTAATGCCCGCTCTTACCTTCAAGAGTCCCTGCGTTGACGCTACTTTGCCCTTTGACCAGATGATACTAGCAGTCAATCTTCCTTGTTCCTGTCAATCTCGAGACTTCATGGGCATTTGTCACCTCTATCCTTATTGAGCTTGGTTCATCTTCCACCTTTGTCGCTTCTCACGCGCTCTCACGCTCTTAACTGCGCATGACTACCCCAAGGGACACTAGTTTTATTATGAGAGCATAAACCAACGTATCGACCAACCCAACCCCATCGTCTCCTGCAGAACCATCATCTTGTTTCTTCGGTTCTTCTCCGCGCCTCCCGGCTCAATCAGCTCCTTTAATCCCCCGGCGTTGGATTGGCGTCAAAGCACAGCCGCTGCCTTTTCTCATCCGCCCTGCGCCTCTACTCCCATGAAGGCATATCCCTTGTTCATCGCCACCAACAAACGAATCATAGCCTACTATTTTCCCTAGATTATCAGGAACCGAATACTGGGGGGATCAACATATTGGATCGTACCATTGCCCCAGCCCGGCCTGGCACGTCGCATCCAACGTACGGGGTACATTTACCTTATAAGGCCAGTTCGTCGGTCTACCCAATTTCGAGAAGCTTTCGTTCTGTTCATTCCTTTTTCTCAACCGCATGAGATCGACCAGGCCTGAGGATCTCTCCCTCCCCCCATCAGCCAGCCCCTCCGTCGTCAGCAGTAGCGTGGGTCGTCAAGCGTACAGTGAGCTTGGCTCCGTCAACCTCAAAGCTTGACGTAACGTAACGTTGCTCTGTGCACCACACTGTCAATTGGTCGCTTGGTTCCCAACCACTATCCAGACTTGGCTGCGCGGTATCCGTGAAGGAAAAGGCAGCAGAGTCGACGGGCAGCTACTTCTGCGCTCTCGTATGTCTTTCTTCTGCAGCTGAAAGTGGCACGGGACGAATCTTTCGGTTCGTTTGGTGGCTAAGAGGATATCATACTCTCTGCCTTATCTCGGAAAATTGTGGTTCGCAGGAACAGTGCAAACACACCACAAAGACCACCGCGCATCACCCTAGCTCGTCCATATAACAAGCCTCGACCCTTTCGTTGCTTTGAACGGCATACTTCTTCTTTTTCCTAATTCTTCTCTTTTCGGAGTCCCCAAATCGTCAAGATGTTACCCTCTCTCTTACTCGTATCCCTCTCCCTCGCCGTGGGCCAGGTCAGTGCCGGTATCTGGCCGGCCCCGAAGAAGCTTTCCACTGGCAAGAGTGTTCTGTTCATAAGCCAAACACTGGAAATCACATATAATGGAGGATCTGTACGCTGGCGCCCTTCTTCTGCTTCCACTTCCACTTCCGATGATGAGACACAGAATACTGAGAATTTCTTTAATGTGCAGCTGCCCTACACTTATGGCTACAACCCGGCTTCGGGCTCGACGTTTAACAGCAAAGACATTGTGCAAGGCGGTGTGTCGCGCGCCATGGCTGCCATTTTTCAGCAAAACTTCGTGCCCTGGAAGTTCCACCCGAAGAACAGTGACTTTGAGCCAGATGTGTACGCGGCGGACAAGAAGGCAGTCAAGTCGCTGCAGATTACACAGACTGGAGAGGATAAGCCCAGCACCTTCAAGCCTGTCGCTGGTGACGTCAATGAATCATACGCGCTCAATATCACAGAGGATGGCTCGGCTACGCTTACGGCCATGTCCTCCACCGGCATCTTGAGAGGTCTCGAGACGTTTGTGCAGCTCTTCTACCAGCACACATCCGGCACCTCCTGGTATACCACGTTGGCTCCCGTTTCGATTGAGGATTCGCCAGAGTACTCCCACCGCGGAATCATGATCGATACGGCGCGTAACTTTTTCCCCGTTCAGGATGTTCTGAGGGTCATTGACGCCATGTCTTGGAATAAGCTCAACCGGCTCCACATCCACATCACGGACTCGCAATCATGGCCGCTTGACATTCCTGCGATGCCCGATCTAGCCGCCAAGGGCGCTTACCGCAAGGGATTGTCGTATTCGCCCGAGGACTTGGCAAAGATTCAGGAATACGCAGTTCACCGCGGAATTGAGCCAGTGATTGAAATCGACATGCCGGGGCACATTGGATCCGTTTCTTTTGCCTACCCGGAGCTGATTGTGGCTTATAACGAGAAGCCGTACACTTGGTGGTGCGTAGAGCCGCCATGTGGTGCCTTCAAGATGAACGATACCCGAGTCGACGAGTTCCTGGACAAACTCTTTGACGATCTCCTGCCGAGGGTCGGCCCTTACACGGCATACTTCCACACTGGTGGCGATGAGCTGAACAAGAACGACTCCATGCTCGACGAGGGTATTCGGTCCAACTCGAGTGAGGTCCTGCAACCGCTTCTGCAAAAGTTCATGGACAAGAACCACGCCAGAATCCGCAAGCACGGGCTCATTCCGCTGGTCTGGGAAGAGATGCCGCTCGAGTGGAACATCACGCTTGGCGACGACGTCGTGATTCAGTCTTGGTTGGGAGGCGATTCCGTAAAGAAACTGACCAGCAAGGGCCACAAGGTCATTGACAGCAACTACAACTACTGGGTAGGTATTGTTGACGTCCATATTGAGGGATCCACTTTACTAATGTATACCAGTACTCCGACTGCGGCAGAGGCCACTGGATGAATTTCGACAACGGAGCCGCCTTTGAGGCCTTCTTCCCCTTCAACGACTGGTGCTCGCCGGCAAAGGGGTGGCGCCTCATGTACTCGCACGATCCGCGGGCCAACCTGACCGAGACGGAAGCCAAGCTCGTCCTCGGCGGCGAGGTAGCGGCGTGGAGCGAGTCCATCGACCCGGTCAGCATCGACGGGATCCTGTGGCCGCGGGCCAGCGCGGCTGGCGAGGTGTTGTGGTCGGGCCGGCGGGACGCTTCGGGCCAGAACCGGAGCCAGTACGACGCGGCGCCGAGGCTGGCTGAGTTCCGGGAGAGGATGGTGGCGCGTGGTGTGAGGTCGGAGCCGGTGCAGATGCCGTTCTGCACGCAGGGGGATGCGGGTGAGTGTGGGTATCCCATGGTGTAAGAGCTGGGTTGGGATTTTCCAAGCTCTCTGTGTTATTCCGCATGATTCATGCGGTTCTCCGGAGAAGGGTGCCCCCTTCTCGGACAGTTGAACATACCTTTTCTTGTACATGTATTAGAGACAGGGCTTTATCTCGTTAATCAACACTCTTATAGCGAATAATGAGTTCCCTATTTAGGGTGTCAAAATGACAACGCTTCACATCATTCGACACAGACCATCAAGCCCCGAGGGGTCGGATCGACACATTCAGCGTCCGTTGCCCGGCGCCGTTGGACTAAAAAGTTCATCCGACTGTCCTGTCCGTGGCGGAGGGAGGGGAGAGGGGGGGGGGGGGAGAGCGGGACTTTTTTGGCAGCCGCCGCCGTCGCTCTTTGAGGTTGGTTGTACTTAGTTCCCGCTGGGCCCTCCGCATGAACGGCTCGTTTGTGGAAAGCGGGGAGAGATCGGGGATGGGGGGTGATCTACATGTCCAAACCTCGGTGAATCTGGTGTGACGCGCTTCCAAAAGGTGGGCGGATTCTGGGGTACGTGTTTATTTGCTCGTGATTGGGATGTGTTTCCCGTGGTATCATGGTGTAGATGAGAACTGAGCGTTTGGCCGTATTCAGGTCGTTTTTTAGGGGTTGGGAACTCTGTAATTTATAACTTGTATACATGTACGAGATATGGTTTCACCTCTGAATGTTTCTACTGCATTGCTTGCATACGCCTACTTAGAGGAAAGCTTTTCTCGGGCCTTGAATAAACGCTAGATTGGGATGTTCGCTCTCAGTCTCTTCTCTCCTTCACGCCATCCCGCTTGCTCCCAAACTCACAAGGACGATACCTACCTATCCCGACGTCACCCTCCGCTTCGGCAGTGAGAGAAGCTGGGGAGTAGCGCTAAGGTAAGGTAGGCATGAACCTGGCAGGATCCAACTGGACTTCTCTTTTGTTTTCCCTTCCTCTCGAGAAAGAGTTGCAGGGGTGTAAGCTGTAAGTTGCGGGGTGGAGAAGCTGTGGTCAAAAGTCGTGTGGGCGGGCACCTGCAGGGTGCGACAGCAGAAATTCCCTTTCTGGGTATTCAGATCGTGATCGGTGGGGTCTTGCACTGTGCTTGCTCCGGTCTGAGTCTCTACCCAGTAGTCTCCAACGTGGAATGACTGGGACCAAGTGAGGTTGTCAAGTTTCTCAGCAAAAGATATGGATGAAAGGATAACAATCGAGAGTCGCGGGAGTATCGTCTGGCGGTACTGTCAATTGACGGAAGAGTCGAACAGCTTGACTATCTTGTCCTCTTCGAGAATGGAAATTGCTGCCATCATTCGTGACAAGACGAGTTAAACATCTCGTGAACTACGGAATAGTTATGCTACGCTACCACATCGCACTGTACGTAATCCACCCAATTGCCTCATCCCATCACCCTCTCAAACAAAAGATCCAAAATCTCTCCTCGTCGAAGAAGAGAGGTTCGTGACCTCGGCATCAGGTAGGCATGTCCCCAGCAACTATACCGCAACCTTTTCGCAACTCTCAAGTACACGACATCTCACGATTGGTCAGACATTACACCTCTTTCCCTAAAACGGAAGATCTCTGGGGGATGATGTTCAATGAAGACCAGAAGTAAAGCCAGCGCAACAGCGGCGTGCGCGCGAAGTTTCTGATCTTGCTGTGCTGTGCTGCCATGCATGCTGCGCCGTACATGTGCAGGTAGGTGATTTTAACAACCAACAGGGGTTCTTAGCTTCACCAAGCAGCGGATCCCCGCGGCTCTCGAAACCAAACTTCCCATCATCGACCGCTGTTTCGGCTCTATATTGTGCCACGACATGGTAAAGGAATGTAGGTGATACAATTTTGAACCTTCTCCAGGGATCATTGAGCCCCGGGTAGTCGTCCATCTCTTTTCCTCGTCCAGTCTCCGCGTGGCGGGTACGGTCCGACGCTCATGAAGGGTTTGGGTATCGGTTCAGCGAGCTTCCGTTGCACAACAGCCGACAGGTTGCTTCTTGACTCGTACTGAGAGTGAACTCGGGAAGCTTTTAACATAGTATACAGCTGGGCCACGTAGGTATACTAGTCCGTAAGATACTCTCAATGGACGCTCACCTTGTGATACGATTTAAGAATTCTCAAAGCAAGAGACCAATGCGAAAGAAGCGTGAAGCGTGACACGGGACTCTGCACTAAGCCCAATCCAAGCCAGCGCCAGTTCACTCGCCATGTGGCTTTTGCGCCGCCGCTAGCAACACAAGGGCAAGTGTTTCGGCCGCGGTGGACGGTCCACGGAGAACATCGATGTCCATGGTGTAATTAATTTTTTTCGTAGGGATGTGAGGACTTGGGATGGTCCTCTTTACCGAGGAGGGAGAGAGGGGGGCGGGGAAAGCCCACCTCAAGTGTACACTGACCAACCATTCGTCTTTGGTTTGATTCTCTCTGGCCGTCCGCGGGCTGCTGCCATCGATGGATCATGGATTGTGACGGATGGAGATGGATGATCACATCTGGGGTCCTTGGCATTTTGTGTCTTTGATTCTCTCCTCACATTCCTCGTCACCCTCGTCTTTCGACCCCGTCCCCTCCCCCATTGTATCCAACACTGGCTAGTCTCAAGCAGACCCCTAGCACTGCACTCCGAGGGCCCCGTACCGAAGCTCGAGAAAAAGAGAGATGGTACGGATAGACGGATTTGGGGGGGAACAAGCTAGGAACGGTAGACCAAGTGGGGATGAGCCCATCATAGTAGGTAAGGTAGCTAAGGGTCAATGAGGTGTACTTTCACTTTGTACTCTGTCACTGCTTTCATACATCTTTTTTAGCTTATTCGATACATACTTAATACTTGTAGTCTCAGCTTTCCACCCCAACATCAGACCTACCTACATCAGATGTTTATGCCTTCGTTGCCCAGACTTGGTTTTCTTTTTGTCTACAACTGGAGCGGGTTTTCGATTTATCCCGTCGCTCCGTACATAAGCTATCGGGTTTTGCTTCACCGGTCTCGACAAGCTCCTGGAATATAGTCACTGCGTCGTCCTCTGTCGACGCTCTCTCCACCTTTTTTCCTGCGTTAGGACATTCAACGACAACACTGCATGTCGATTCCCACTCGAGCATTACCGAGAGGCCGACCCATTACCGCCGATTTCAAAAGACGTTACTCGAATTTGTCCCGCCCGTAGGCGGTCCTGCATCTCTCAGGTTCAAGACTCGGGCCTCCATCCTTCTTATAACCAATTCTCGCTAGACGACACATCCACAAGAATCTACTCACCATGGGTCTGGTAGATCATGCCCTCGAGTATCTTACTCTCAAAGTCGTCTTGGTCTTTGGCGCAATAGCCTGGGGGTTATGGGTAGCCGTAAAGCGCTTCGATGAGACCATACGGCTGCGCCGTTTGGCGCCTGGCACTCGTGGCCAGTCCCTGAATGCCCGTTTCCCCGGTGGTGAGTTCCTCATGCTGTCCGCGATGCGACTCACACATGCTGTGGCCAATGTTCTTGAAGACAATCTGCATCAATGGTTCTGTTTACTCACAATTCTCTTCTCCAATAGGCATCGACTTCATCTTCAAGGCCGTCCGCGGGACAATGACGCACAAGAACGTTGAGTTCTGGAAGGACATGCTCTCCAAAGTCAAGGGCTGGACCGGCGAGAAGAGGATCCTCGGCCTGCGCATCGTCTTCACCGCCGACCCGGAGAACATCAAAGCCATCCTCGCCACCCAGTTCTCCGACTATGGCAAGGGCGAGCCCTTCCATCAGGAATGGAAGGAGTTCCTCGGCGACAGCATCTTCACGACCGACGGCGACCAGTGGCACGCCAGCCGGCAGCTCATTCGACCCCAGTTCATCAAGGACCGCGTCAGTGACTTGCACTGCTTCGAGTCGCATATCCAGACCTTGTTCAAGGCTATTGCCAACGGCGGCGCTTTAGATGGAGAGGATCAGGTCGTCAATATGGATGCCGTTGACGGCAAGGTCATGGACGTGTCGGACCTCTTCTTCCGATACACCTTGGACGTGGCAACTGACTTCCTCCTAGGTCAGGACGTAAAGTCTCTTTCGTGAGTTATACCTCACCAAACCTCTGCAGCGCCACAAACTAACATGAGATTCCCTAACAGAACCGTCAAGCAAGAGTTCGCCGAAGCCTTCAACGAAGTCCAGCGCGTCCAGAACATCCTCGCCCGCGCCGCCAAGCTGAAACCCTTCATCCCCCTCTTCTCCTTCCGTGCCGGCCTCAACGTAATGAACGACTTTGTCAACAAGTTCATCGAGCGCGCCCTCCGCCTGAGCCCCGAGGAACTCGCCTCCAAGACGAAATCAGACTCAGGGTACACCTTCCTCCACGAGCTCGCCAGCTTCACCCGTGACCGCAAAGTCCTCCGCGACCAGCTCGTCGCCGTCCTCCTCGCAGGCCGCGACACCACCGCCGCCTCCCTCTCCTGGACCCTATACGAGCTGGGCCGCCACCCGGAAGTCGTCCGCAAGCTCCGCGCCGAGATCATCGAGCAGGTCGGCCTCGACCGCGAACCCACCTACGCCGACCTCAAGAACATGAAATATCTCCAAAACGTCATGAACGAGGTCCTGCGCCTCTACCCCGTCGTCCCCTTCAACGTCCGCCTCGCCCTCAAGGACACGACCCTCCCCGTCGGCGGCGGGCCCGACGGCACCTTACCGCTCGCCGTGTGCAAGGATACGCCGATAGGGTACTCCACGCTCCTGATGCAGCGCCGCGAAGACCTGTACCCGCCCGTGTCCGAGACGTTTGCGCACCCGGAGACCTTTTCGCCCGAGCGGTGGTACCACTGGCAGCCCAAGCCGTGGACGTATATTCCATTTAACGGCGGGCCCCGGATCTGCATCGGGCAGCAGTTCGCGCTGACGGAGATGAGTTATACGCTGTGCCGGCTGTTTCAGAGGTTTGAGAGGGTGGAGAGTTATATGGATGCCGTTGACGGCGGGAAGCCGACGCTCAAGGCGGAGATTGTGCTGCAGCCTGGAGATGGTGTCAAGGTTGCTTTCTGGAGGGCGAAGCAGGGGTAAATGTGAAGGATTTTGACGCTGCTGAGAGAGAGAGAGGGGGGGAGCGAGTTCGTTTTGCGACGACGATTGGAAAGATATTTGAGATTAGGTGGATGACTGATGATTACGACGAACATCTCTACACAATACTCTTGCTCTGTAAGATATATTTCTCAAGGCAGCGTCAGCCGTCTTCTCATCGCACTGTAGGCGAAATGGTGTGGGAGGTTGGGATAAGCAAACCTCTTTTGTGTAACGGACAAGCCCCATACACGACGACAAGCCACATCCCGACCTTTCTCTTCCCCCAGAGACTGAGGCTACCCTGGAGGATGCTGCCAAAGTAGGCGCCCACTTCAAATTAGGAGTAGAGTAAGCAAAAGCGGGTACTCGCGTTAAAGAGCAGGGCTATTTGATAGGGCTGAAGTGAGAGGCGGCCAAAGTTGAGAGCGGATTGTGGCTGCTGATGTGCATGGGCGACCGTTGTCTTGGCTTGGCAACTTTGGGTTGCAGTGTTTGTTGGAAGCTAGCCTGATAGGAAATTGTGTCAAGACGATCTGGGATTGAAGAGGGTTGCGAGACGGGTTTGGAGTCTGATAGCGCCGAAGATCTATTACCACGGGACATCTTGGATTTGGATCCGTACTTTTATGTATACTTAAGAAACCGTGTGCTCTGCGTGGGGACATTTCTTGCAAGTGGCCGTCACGTTATGCGCACACTGCGAAAGATAAATGCTATTCCGCTGTGATATTCGTTGTTTGAAAAAACACCCAATCACGAGTCTGAGCCCTGTCATCTCTATGATAGAGCATAACTACCTCTTGTTCTAAGCCCCCTAATGTGATAGGAAATAGATGACTCGTAGCCCCTTAGCCCACACTCCAAGGTGATGATGATAATAGTAATGCTAAACCCCCCAGACCCCCCAGACAAACTCATGCTAGAACCACAGCCAAAACAATGCAGAAGATGATGTGAAAATCCAAAGGCGAGGGGGAAAAAAAAACAAGAAACAAAGCAATACCACGGGAAACGTGGAAACCAAAGTCCTTTAGATAATTGTGCTGTTCACGCAACGCGGAAACTCTCCTTGATGGCAGCCCCCAGCCTCTGGATCGCCTTGTCCATGTCCTGCTCGCTGGCCGAGGCGAACGTGGCGCGGAAGAAGAGGTCCTTGAGCGGGGTGTCCTGCTCGGTGCGGAACCAGGAGCCGCGGGCGCAGAGGACGCCCTTGTCGATGCACGAGTTGAAGATTTCCTCCTCGATCTCGAGGAGGGGGCGGCTGGCGTTGCTGTCTGGGTGGGCGGCGTGGTCTATCTTGAGCCATAGCTGTGTACGAGGAGGAAGTCGATTAGCCTCGGAGCAAGTATCGTCACATGGGAGGTGTGTGTATGTGGGGGAAGGAGGACGACGTAAAGAACTTACAAACATGCCAGCCGCAGGCGGCGTCCAGCTCACGATATCACGGGGGAGATGCCTCTCGCAGGCAGCGAGCAGCCAGTCGCGGCGCTGCGTGTACTCCATGCGCAGGTTCATCAGCCACTGGAGGTAACCCTCGTGGCCCCACGTCTCGTCGAGCAGCTTCCACACGGCGATCTGCGAGAACCCCGAGGGCCCCTGGTTCGCGACCTCGGCGTGGCGGATGAAGCGCTCAATCACCTGCGCCGAGGCCGTCACCCAGCCCAGGCGGGACCCGGGCACGAGGACCTTGGAGAAGGAGTCCATCCGGAGCACGCGGCCGTCCGTGTCCATGCTCAGCAGGGAGGGGATCAGCGCGCCGAGGAACTCGTCGACGGAGGACGGGGGCGGGGCTGCCGGCGCAGAAGCATCGGTCCCGGCGTAGGGCTGCATCTGGAGGAAGTAGTAGGGCTCGTCTTCGATGATGTAGAGGTCGTGCTTCTGCGCCACGGCGTAGATGGCGCGGCGCCGGGCCGCGGACTGCGTTGCCCCCGTGGGATTCTGGCCCGAGGGGACGGTGTACAGCAGGTGCGGCTTCCGGTGCCCGCCCCGCGCCGCCGGGTCCCAGGCGGAGAGCATCTCGTCCATGGCGTCGGGTAACAGGCCCTGCGCGTCGACGGGGACGCCGACGGCCTTTACGCCGAGCGGGGCGATGGTCTCGAGCGCCGTGGAGAAGCTGTACTCCTCCGTCAGAACGGCGTCCTTGCGGTCTTTGTCGCAGAACATGCGCAGCGTCTGCTCGAGGGCGGCGGTGCTGCCGACGGTCTGGCAGCATTGCCAGTCGGCGTAGGGCGGGTTGTAGACGAGCTCGGTGTGTTCTGTGACGAAGCGCATCATTTGGGCGGAGCCGGTGGACTGGGTGTAGTTTAGGGCGATGGAGAGGTCGTATTCGGCGCGGCCTTCGGGGTCGTCGCGGACGTCGTATTTGCCGACGGTGATGTCTTGGCCGTGGGCGCCGATGGTGTCGGCCTCGGAGAAGTGCGGGGCCGTGGGGACGCGGACGGAGAGGGAGGCGAAGGGGAAGTAGGCGCTTGAGGGGAGGCCGCCGCCGAGGGAGATGAGGCCCGGTTTCTTGAGGTGGCGGGCGGCTTGTTTGAGGGAGCAGGGGTGGCGGGAGAGGGACTCTTTGGAAAGGTGATCTTGAAGGTGTGTCAGTGAGATGTTCAGGCGTGAGAGGATATGTGAATGAAGCTTACGGTCCCATCGCTTTGATTTGGGTTTTCCGATAGCCTGTAAGTGAGAGGTCAGTATAACGTTACTTGAAATCTGAACGTCCTGAAAAAGGAAGCATACGGGGGCCTTGAACATATCGCTGTCTGAGGCGGCGGCCACACCCGCAATCAGCTTGCCGGCCTTGGCTCTGCGCTCCCGGACGCCATCGAACGGCGACGGCTGCTGTCTCTTCTCAAATGTTGCTTTCCTCTCCACGGGCACGGCGTCTGCCACGGATCTGTCACTCGACTTTGAGTGAAACGGGCGTTGAGAGGCGACGGGCTCCCAGGTCACCGGGGCGCGTTCCCGGCTCCGGCGCCGGAGATCTGTAAGTCGAGACGGGGTGCGAGGAGGGGCAGCGGCTGCTGATAAGGGCTCAGAGGAGGCCCGGCAGACGGAGCCATTGAGGCCACGGCGAGCGGCTCTCGAGTACATGCTTGCGGGGACCGAGTTTGAGTTGTGAGATGTTTGAAGAAGAGATGTGTTTACTGTGAGACTTCAAGAGGTGTTGTGAATAATGTTGGACGTCGTCGGTTATCTCAGCCCGAGTCCAGGGAGCTTTCGAGATAACAAAGGGCGTAAGGCGTATCTGACACTCTACACGCGGGCGCGGGTGCACCAGGTGGTGGGGCAGCCCGCAGCTACCCGCAGCTACCCATGACTCCCCCGCATTGTGCTACTGTTTGCCCGTAATTTTTAGGTAATTAGGGGTTCTCTGACCGCTGCGGGCGCTGTGAGCGTTTCCTTCTTAGTGTTGGCAGAAGACCAATTTGGGACTCTAGTTGGAAATGTGCTAGATTGCGGGGAGGGAAGGGGGGATCACCGGGCTGTTGAGGATGGATCGCGTGACGCCGGTTGCGGAGAGAGATGGCGGATCCAGTCTGTCCGGCTCCGTGTGGATACCCATGACGGGACCCAGTCCGGGGTGCTTGACCGTCGGCCGGATTGCCGGACCATTGAGAACCGGGTGTCAGTTCACACATAGCAGTGGGTCAAACGAGATAAGAATCATAATGGACAGAGTATCCGTCCGGGGTGAACGGCATCCGAGACCGATCCATGTGCTTCTTTTCCAAGCGCACAGAAGCCTGGCCTTCCGTCGAGTCCAACACACCAGCGCACGAAAATCCCAGACAGCGCAACGGCTTCCATGCGTCACGGGCATGTCGCTGTAAGTGTCAGTCGCCGTTAGCTGCTTGCACCCCCGTCCGAGACACTCGTCCGCCAGACGTACGGATGCGCAATCGTCACGAATCCGGATGTGAGAGCCGGCGCCCGTGGACATCGAAGCCCGAAGAAGGCCCCCTACCGACTCGTAGGTATCCCACACTCATGCGAGGCCTCGCGTCCCGCGTCCCGAGCCCCCGTCTTGCGCACTTCGTACCTGACTATCATCGTCAGAGATTTACTCCCCATTCGGCTACCTTGACTTCTACCAATCCTTGGATGTTACTGCGGAAGAGGGGTCTCGCAAGATTCTGGCACCGAGTCGACGGGTCCTGAGTCTTGACGCCAAGGGTCCGGCGGAGCCCCAGCCACCCGTCCTTCACCAGCCACGCCATTTTCAACACTATCTACTAACCAATCAGAACCTTTGAATTCATCCCAACCTCCCCTCGTCTCAACTTTCTTTCCAGGGCAGCCAATCCGAGTTGGACGGACAACGAACAGGGAACACCACGTAGCGGCACCGCGGAACAACGGCCATTGATTGCTGTTCGTCCAGCGCAAGAAAAACATGGAAAACATCTCGATGTTGATGTCCCTTCATTTCCACCTATCGACCATCACCCCACACCCTCTTGGTAGGTAAAAAGGTACTAGGCAAGGTAGACCGTAGGCGGGCGCATGGGGTGATGAGTTCTCTTGGACTATTTTCCAAGGCCCAAGGCCCGAAAAAAAAGACTGCTTGGAACCCAAGAGGACAAGAGGGTAAAAGGGCCCTGCGCGGCCCGATGACGCTACTGCAGCTGCCAGTGGCTGGGCACATGGAAAATGATTGGGAACATGCAGACAGCTCAGATCATATAACACCAATCTGCCGCTGCCAGTCTATCACGGCCCGCCCGTGTGATGTACAATTTTCCCTTGTTCTTGCTGCTGTCAGTTTTCTCCCTACCTCACGGCTCACGCTTACTCCTGTCCGCCCACCCCCTCGTGTTGCCCAAGTGCGACGTGCCACGGACTTACACGGATCCTTGTCTGCATCTTTCCCTGTGACGTCGCCAGCTCCCAACGGACCTTGGCTTTAGGTCGCAGCGGGCTTTTTTCTTTTTCCTCGGCGGCTTGACTTGGAGATTCTCTTCAAGTGAGAGGAGACTCGAGTTGAACCTCTCTTCCTCTCTTTCACCGACGACTTCACCCTCGACCCTGTAATACCCTCACCCTCCACTGGTACACTGCGGTGGAACCCTTACACATCCAAATCACACAATGTTCTTCTCAAGAAGACTATTCGCCGGCCTGACGGCGTTGGCAACAACAGCTTCAGCGCAGACGTATTCATCGTGTAACCCCCTCCAACAAAGTAAGTCTAAGCTGCCGTCACACGATGCCACCAACAAGCAACATAACGCACTAACCTCTCTCTCCGCTCTCCAGCAACATGTCCCGCCGACACAGCTCTCGGCATGGCCATCCACGTCGACTTCACCCAGGGCGCCGTCAACTCCTTCGCCGCCTCAGGTAACCCAACCTACGGCTCCGACGGCGTGACCTTCAGCGTCGCCGCCTCGGGCCAGGCGCCCCAGCTCATGTCCCTCTTCTACATCATGTTCGGCCGCGTCGAAATCACCCTGAAAGCCGCCACCGGCGCCGGCATCGTCAGCTCCCTCGTCCTACAGTCCGACACCCTCGACGAGATCGACATGGAGTGGCTCGGCGCCGACCCGACAGAGGTGCAGTCAAACTACTTTGGTAAAGGCGACGTGACGACCTACAACCGCGGCCAGTTCCACCAGACCAGCAAGAACAACCAGGAGAACTTCATGAAGTACACCATCGACTGGACCTCGGAGCGCATCGTCTTCTCCGTCGACGGCACCGTCGTCCGCACCTTGAAGGAATCCGAGGCCGACACAAACCAGTACCCGCAGTCGCCGATGCAGGTCAAGTTCGGCTCCTGGTCCGGCGGCGACCCGGCCAACGCCGGCGGCACGATCGACTGGGCCCGCGGACCGACGGACTTCTCCAAGGGGCCCTTCCACATGGTCGTCAAGGACGTCTCGATCACGGACTACTCGACGGGTAAGGAGTACAAGTACACCGACACCACGGGCAACTGGGGCTCCATCCAGGCCGTCGACGGCCAGGTCAACGGGAACCTGGGGAAGGCGAGCCAGGTCACCTACACCGCCAGCGCGGCCGCCGAGACGGGTTCTCCCGCGCCCACGGTGCCCCGCGGCGGTATCGGCGCCGACGAGTCGGCTTCCGCTACGCAGACGGGTTGGCCTTGGGTCGCGAGCGCGAGACCTACGGGCGGTTCAGTGCCGGACGGGTGGCGCATGACGTCCGAGGGCAAGATTATTCCCGACGGCGCGGGCAGCTCGGTGCGGCCTTCCTGTCTGGTCTTGGTGGTGTCGTTTATCGTTGGTGTTTTCGCTTTGATGGGGCGGTAGAAGAAGATGTCATGATACCCTCTCCCCCTCCGCCTTGAGAGGTGAATTTTTTTCTGGAATTGTTTTACATGATGTAATGGATGTATGTGGTGGAGGAACATTTGCTGGTTTTTGGAGGCACGATATTAGAAAAATGGACGGCTCACCTTGAAAAAGGGCCTATGCATTGGACGGCGTTTGGGGAGCATCAAGGGACGGGAAACCATACGAATTGGATTTGAAACGTATAAGACGCATTACTTTTGTAAATAGAATAGACGCAGCATTGTCCTGCGTGAAGAACTATCCGGAACGAATGAATCGGAAAGTAGTTTATCCAACTGAGCCTTTGCAATTGATCCCTTTGGATTGTGACTTCTCGTCGTCGCTTCGAGGAGCGGGCTGCCTGGACGGAGGAACCGGAGTGGGTCGAGGCGGGCCACACTACTCGGATGATTTTGCGTAGGTAATTTGGCATGAGGCGTTGTGGCAGAGTGGTCTAATGCGCAAGACTAGAAATCTTGTTCCTTCGGGAGCGTCTGTTCGAATCAGGCCAACGTCGATATCTTTTGCTTTTTGGACCATTTTCCCATAGCCTTTTATAAATCTCAATCGGCGGCACTCAGTCTTCATTTTGCACTTTACTTCATTGGCTCATTTGAATTGGGTGTGGCGTAGGAGCCATCTTTATTCTGTGCATGCCGTTCAACTCAGTGGCATGAATAGACTGGTCAACAGTTCCCATTCCCTCAGACGCACTGCCACCATCCTACTACACCCTCATCACTCTGCAATCACCTCGGAAACTTATATCGTTTTGTGTTCTGGGCTATTGGTTGGATTTGGCACAGCACAAAAGTTCCGCCATGCCCCTGTAAGCAATGAAGACAAGCTACCTCTTGTCGAACGCCAACCTTTGGGAAACGACTTGTTGAGGCTTGACATCACATCTATGGGACACTCTGAGTTGCTGAATTCGCTGTTGTTTTAATTAACTAAGCTAGTCTAGTCTGCTGTGGCCTATATGTGGCTCTATAGCAAAAAAGCGTGACCGGCGGTTGGTGGCCCCCAGGTCACCGTTCTCTACAAAAGCTCCGTTTTATCTCTTTAGGCAACACCCCCTCCCTTCGCTGTATGCATTGGCACTTCCTCGCGCCCTCAACCCCAGCTGATATATACCTTTTTCTCCTTGCCGTCCTGAGTAACTTTCTCCAGATACCGAATCGGGCCATCGCGTAGAGTGGTCCCTAACTGGCAGGACGTCCCAGGCCCGGGGTAAAATGCTGAAATAGAAATGCTTTTGGTACAAACAAACAAATACAGTAAAAGTGACGAGATACGATGGGGTTGGTTCAGCAAAGCAACTAAAGTTCTGGAAAGAACGCGATCAGAACTCCCAGTCATCATCCTCAACAGACTTGATGGCCCAGCTGAACTTTTCGCGCAGCGTCTTGGAGAAGAACTTCTCAATAGGAACGTCAAACTTCTTGGCAAAGACAACCGTAAGGCGCGGATCAATGTAGTTCTGGAATATGTTAGCTTTAGATCCATTTCAGCCAAGCGAATAACTCACGATCTTAGAGGTGCTCAAGGCAACCTCCTTGTTGCCATCACGATCAGCAGCCTGAAGCTCCAAAGTCTTGACTCTGTCGTCAATCTTCTTGGCCTGCTCAACAAGCTTCTCAACTGTAGGGCCTCGGCCTTCCGGCTCGACCTTCTTGGACTTGTTCTCTTTCTTGAACTTGGCGGCGAGCTCGTCCGCAGCCTTAAGGCGCTCCTTACGCTCCTTATCGGGGAACGGCTTCTCGCCATCGGCCAGGCGTTTCTCGTTATCCTTTTGGAATTTCTTCTCGATTTTGGTGCGCTGCTCTTCCACCAAGAACTTTTGGTGCTCGAGGATCCACTCATCGGTTAACTCTTCAGGGCGAGCAAAGTATTCGGCACCCTTCTTCTTCTTCACCTTGTTGTCGATCTGAAGCATCATCTGCTTCAGGCGCCATTGCTGATACCGGAGGCCCTTGATGCGGTCGCCGAGTTTCTCCATCTGTGCCTCGTGCGCAGCACCGACAGTGCGCTTGTGGTTGCAAAGAATGGCTACCTCACGGTTGCAGTCGTTGTACAGCTTCACCTTCTCCGCAATCGTCAGGTTCTTGTGATCAACAAGCTTCTGAAGGAGAGTGGACATGGTGAAGGACGCGTTGTAGGTACGGAACACCTTTGCTGTCAGACCCGGCATGTAGTTCTTGAGATGGTTGTTCAGCTGCGTGGTGGTCAGGCGGTCGAAGATGTCGTCACCGTCGGTCTTGGGCGACTTCTTGAAAAGCTTCAAGTTCTTGAAGACCTGCTTCTCAACAGTGACCTCATCGTAGAATCGAATACTGTCCTTTCCGAGGAAGTCGAAGATCACGGTGTTGGGCTCGCGCAGGGTGATATGCTCATACTTGAGGGAGCAGCAACCGACGGTCTCGGCTTCGTTTTCAGAGTCCTTCTCGTTGCCAGCTCTGAGAGCAAACTTGTCAATCAGGTACACGGCCGTGGCTCTTTGTCGGTCCGCCATGACCTCGCTCTTGAGATCCTTCGTGTAATCCCTTCGAATCTTGTCGATGTGCTTCTTGAGTTCTCTTGCCTTTTCAAACTTCTTCATGTCGCTCTGACCCTTGATTGCACTGGCAGCGCCAAGCATCACGTACTTGTATGCACCGTTGATGTTCTCCTGCCACATAGCCAGCCAGGTAGCCTTGTTGTCGTGAACAACCGCCTTCCACTTGTGGCCCTTGGGCGGTGTCGGAACCTTGGCGTCCTTGCCAATGTTGATGGTGATTTGCTCAGGATACACTCGCTTCTTGAGCTTTCCAGTCTTTGGGTGCTCGCCACGGCCGCGGAACAGACTTGGAGGTTCAACGCGGAAGTTGCCAACCTTTTCCTTGCGGCCATCCCACTTGCAGTACATGAAGGGAGCTTCCGTCTCATCCTTTTCAGCCTTGATTGCCTTCTTCTCTGCAGCTGTCCGATTCTTTCTGATGGCGCTCTGTTGCTCGTAGTAATTGAAGATGGGCTCGAAGTCCATCTTCATGAAGTCCTTGATGTCGACCTTGTTGCCTTGCTTGTCGGTTGCTTGGCCTGACTCCTTGAGAACGGCCTTGAAATCGTCGAAGAAGTTCTTCTGGAAGACGGGATTGTCGACATTGTGCTTAGAGTTAAGCATCGCTCCGAAGAAACCGGCAACTTCTTCGGCCTCGACGGGCAGGTTGACCGGCTTGCCATCATAGAGCAGTCTGACGTTCTTGGGGAGGGGTTGGTACTCGGGTGGGAACATGACGCCGTTGTGCTCCAAGGTCTTCCACTTGACGCTGTCGTCCTCCTTCTTAGGGGCGTTCCACCATTCGTACTCTTCCTCCTCTTCGTCTTCAGGAGCCTCGCTTTCCGCCTTGGCCTTTGCTCCCTTTTTGGCTGGTGCTGCGGCAGCCTTGCCCTTTGCTGCCGTGGCCTTGGCCGGGGTGGCCTTCTTCGCTGCAGCCTTTCTTGCGATGGGCATATCGGAGTCGGATTCGGATTTAACCCCATTTGACTTTCTGGCGCCGTTCGATTGGCGCTTCTTTGCTCCCGACCTGGCCAAAGGCACATCGTCGTCGGAGGACTCTTCCTTTTTCGACTTCTTCGGGGTTGCCTTCTTTGCCTTGGCCTCGCTGGCACGAATGTTGCGAGCCTCCTTGGCGGCTGCCTTCTCAATGTCCGCTTTCTTTTGCGCGAGCCTGGCGCCCAATGGCTGATCATCATCGGAGGATTCGTCGGGCAAAGCTGTCTCCCGGTAGGAAGGAGGCAGGTTCTTGCCCCTCTTCGAAGTGAGAGGTTCGTCGTCCGAATCCGTTTCTGGTGCCTTGACCTTGGTCTTTTGTCGCTTGGCCTAGAGTCGCTGTCAGCCTCAGACTCCGCCACCGTCTGTCTGCCTGCCATGTGTAACCTACCAAAGGAGCATCGTCATCGCTATCTTCGGTTTCGTCCTTGTAATTGACCTTGGGCAAGGATGAACGAGACTTGCGCTTGCCGTTCGTCGATGGGCCATCGACGTCCATCGCATCGTCATCCTCTACGGGTCCATTGCGGATAGAGAGACCGGGCGGGGCCGCTCGTGCCTTGGAGGCGGTTCTGTCCATGGCGATGTCGTCGGCTTTCGATATCCTCGATGCAGAAACTGTCGGTGATCAGGTTAGAAAGCTGTTAAGTTTTCATTTGGTTTCGTAGGCAGATCCGGGATGCAGGAAGTACGCGACGAGTCAGGTGGGTTCGCTGGGGCGAGAGGAGGGCAAAAGTGACACGTCCGGCGTAAAGTGGCAGGCGCGAAGGGTAAAGCGTCCGAAAGCGCAAAAGTTTATGTTTCTTAGCGTACTTACTATGTCCGTTCGACCTCGCAAGAGGTGCGTCGTCGTCTGAGGAACTCATGGTGGGAAAAGGTCTCGGTTCGCGACGTTTACGGACGGTTAAGTAAGAACTGAATCGCAAAGTCCAAAACCGGGGCTTGGTGGAGCAGAAAAAGTTGTTGTAGAAGCCGATCCGCGCGGAAGAATCGCGTAGATATAGAGGCAAGAGCCGGATGGTTGGAAAGGCCGCCACTTGATGAGTTGAAAGACGTAGGGAATGGCACCCACGTCTCTTCGAATCGAAAGGGAAGACGAGGATTTTTTTCGAGGGATCGAGGGAACGAAAAAAGAAGGCCGGGGGGTGGGAAAGGCGTCGAAGACCTTCTAGCTACGAGCGAAACTTAATGGGGCTGCCCCTAGGAGTCTAACTGTCTAGGTAAGCCCGGGTAGGTAGGCACAGGTAAGCGGGTGGCAGGTGCTGCCAGGACACAGGAAGGCCCGAACCAATCCAAAGCCTGCGCCACAGCTTCACAGTACACGTGACCTTCCTGAGCCACCCGGCTGCCGGTCAAACTCAGTTAGCCGGGAAAACGAGGTGGATGGAGTCGGGTGCGAAGACTGCTAGCCGGGGAGGAAAATAACCTCGAACCTACCAATCTCGCTATCCCGAAGCACCGTCCGACAGCCTCAATTGATCTCGAAAGTGGTCGTGGTCAATTGCTCCCCACAAACGGCAGAGGCTCGATCTCCTTAATATCTCAAACTTCACAATGCTTTCCCGGGCGGCGAGACCAGCTCTGCGAGCTGCGGCTGCGGCTCCCTCGCGGTAAGTCGGAATCCACACCTTCCTGAGCTCGGAAAATCGGAGGAAAGGGACAACACGTCAGACGAGTGCCGACGGTCGGCCATCAACGATGAAAGAGGAC